CTTTTCTTGCTCTTGTTTTTCTAGGACTCTTAAGATTCATCGTTAGGTTGTTTATTTGAGCTCACTCTGTTTTCCTAGTGTGAGCATTCAGTGCTCTGAATTTTCCAGGTAGAACTGCTTTCATTGTGTCCCATACATGTTGTATTAAAATTTTCATTTATTTGTAAAACTGATTTATTTTTTAATTTCCTCTGTGATCCATTGATTGATTGTTCAGGAGAGTGTTGTTCAATTTCCATGTGTTTGTGAAGTTCCTATGGTTTCTTATGCTATTGATCTCCAGCTTTACTGAACTGTGATCTGATAATATACAGGGTATAACTTCAATTCTTTTGCATTTATTCAAACCTGTTAGGTGAGCTAGTATGTAATCTATCTTGGAGAATGATGCATGTGCAGCTGAAAAGAATGTATATTCTGATTTTGTGGGGTAGAACACTCTATAGACGTCTAGTAAGTCCATGCATTCAAAAGCTTGGTTCAATTCTAGTATTTCATTGTTGATTTATTGCCTAGATGATCTGTTTATTTGTGATAGTCGGGTATTTAGATCCCCCACTACAGTTGTATTAGTGCTCGTTTGGTTTTTCATGTTACTTAATATTTCTTTTATATAGTTGGGGCATTTATATTTGGTTCATATATGTTTATGATTTTCATCTCATTCTCTTGAATTGTTCCCTTTACAAGGATGTAGTGGCCTTCTTTGTCTCTCTTAATCAGTTTTGGTTTGAAATTTACTTTGTCTGCAAATAAGATTGCTATCACTGCTTTTTTCTGGGCTCCTGTCATGTGGAGAATTGTTTTCCATCCTTTCACTTTCAGTCTATGGGCTTCTTGTTGCACTAGGTGTGTTTCTTGTGTACAACATCTTGTTGGATTTTGCTTCTTAATCCATACTGCCAGTCTATTTTTCTTGATTGGTGAATTGAGGCCATTGACATTGATGGTTATAAGTGATATGTACTGACTTATTATTGTCATGTTATTGTCCTTTTGTTGACTTTTTAAAATTTTTGCCCTCTCCTTTTAGTTTCTTGCCTTGACTATTTGATTTGCTCTGTTAGGCCTCATGGTGTTGTGACCTTCATTGTCTTTTTCTAGGATATTGTTTAGAATTCCTTGTAGTGCTGGTTTGGTATTCATGAAGTTTCTCAGGTGCTCTTTGTCATGGAAGTATCTCATTTCCCCATCCATTTTGCAAGAGAGTTTTGCAGGATACATCATTCTAGGTTGGAGGTGTTTTCTTTTAGGACTTTAAATACATCACTCCGGGCTCTCCTTGTCCTGAGGGTTTGTGTTGAAAAGTCTGCTGTGATTCTGATGGGCTTTTCTTTGCATGTGATTTGTTTCTTTTCTCTTACTGCTTGTAGTATTTTTGTTCTTCTGTTGGGTTTTTGGGATCTTGATTATTATATGTCTAGGTGTAGATTTTTTTTAATGGTGGCTAGTTGGAATCCTATATGCCTCACTTATCTATATGTCAAATTCTTCCCCTCTGTTTGGGAAGTTTTCTGTCATTAATTCTGAGAACAACTTTTTTTTAAAATTGAGTTTATTGGTACATTTTAGGGGTACAGTATAGTTACATTCATTGTTGGGATCTTGTACCTCTATAGACAGGTCTTGGTTCTCATTTTTTCCCCTTGTCCCTGCCCTCCCTTCACCACCTCCTCCCCTCACCATTTACAAACACTTTATTTCCAGCTTTTCGTTTTCTCACATTTTTTTTCTTTTCCCTTATTGCCCTTCCCCTACCCATCCCACCTTCCCTATACCTTTAGCCCTTTTCTTCACATTTCACAATGCTGTGAACAACTTTTTTAAGTCATTTGCATTTTCTCCTGCTCCTTCATGGATTCCTATTAGTCTTATGTTATTCTTCTTTGCATCGTCTAGGAGCTGTTGGATCACTTTCTCATGATCCCTTACTGTTTTTAAGAGACCTCTCTTTTCATGGTCACTATCTGAGATCCTATCTTCTATATCTGAGATTCTATCTTCACATTCTTTTATTCTGTTGCATACACTTTCAATGGAGTGTTTAATCTCCTGGATATCTGTTTGAATCTGTTTAATGGATTCCATTTCTTTCCTATGTTGGGCATTCATTGTTTCTATTTCTTTCTTATGCTGGGCTTTCATAGCTTCTATCATGGTCCTGAGCTCATCTATTTTTTTGTCAGTTTCTGTTCTAGAGTCGCGAATCATGTATTTCATTTTGCTCACTGTCTCTATGGTTATCTGGGAAATTATTTCTGTTTTGAATTTTTCTAGAGCCTGATTGATCTGTTTTGTTACTTCCTGTGCTGTGAGTTCTGAGTGTCCTTGAGGTTCACTATCAGACTTTTCATCCTCCTTTGACCTACTGTTTGCCATTGGTGAAGTGGATGTCTGTCTTTGTGTCTTGCTTAAGTGTTTTCCCCTTTTTATATTTGCTGTTGGGTTGTCCTTGATTCATTCTCTGGGTTATTAAATATTCCTGATATCATTGCGTTTTAGCTTTTCATTCTCTAATGACTCATAGACATTCTTATTTTCAGAATATCAGAGAAAACAACCCCAAGTCAATCCCTATGCTTTATTGATACAATCAGCAACACAATAAGATCAATCACTACTTGCAAATTGACCACTTGTGGTATTCATTAATCTATCACCTTTAAACCATGTGAATTAAATTAAAATCAAGAAGCAGCCCAGAATATGTTTGCAGTGAACAAACTCCTCAACAAACCATATTTACCATTTAGGATTGGGGCCTTGACAGAGTTAGGATGAGAAGAGTAAATAAGTACAAGAACTGGAGAAGGTTTCAAGTGAAGCCAGAGGACGCAGAATGACCACACAATCTTTACGAAACTGTTAAACTCAAAAGGGACAGAGTGCAAGTATAAGGACAAGAATATATCCCCTTAACCGCAATAGGGGCTCACTTTTCCTTGAAACTACTGACCCTTGTGTGAGGCACAATGATAGAAAAAAGGAACATTAAGAAAAAAAAATGATAAAAGATGAAATCTCAGTCAGAGCAGAATCAGGAACAGAAAGGGAGATGAGGGTCAATACGGTGGAGCAAGAGCCTGAGTTGGTGAAAAAGGACAGAATAGAGTTTACAGAGTGGAATGAGGAAAAGAGAGAAAAGGACAAAAACATGACTTTGAAGGGCCTCTTTCAGACTATATCTCTGCTGTCATAATACACATTGTGTGCAGCCATGTGCAGAACCAAATCCCCCTATCTCAGCTAGCCCATTGCAAACCCCACGATGTAGAATGAACTCAGGCCACAAGGCCCAAATTGAGCTCCCTGACCTCTATACAGGTTTCCCCACCCTTTCTTTGAAGATGTTCAAATTTGGGAGCTCAGAAAATTGCCTTTTATAACCAGCTATGCCTCTGCGGAGTGGGTCCAAGGACTGGCACAATCAGGAGATCTGAGAGTTGGGAGGGCATGGGGGGCTACCCTCCTGGCACTGGAGAAGCAACTGTGGTGCCCACAAGGGAGGGCATGGCTACCTGCAACCGACTGGGCCCAGGCAGGCTGAAGGGAGCTCTGATGCCTGAGCCACTTTCCCAAATCTCCTACTTATTGTTTTTTGATGGTAAAAGTAACAACTTCAACTTTTCAACATTGTTCTGCTTGCTATTTGAGTATTTTTCTCTTTTATTTTATATCTAATTTTTACCCCTCCCATAAGCTTTTTTTCTTCTGTTCCTTCTGGGATATTCTTTCTTCTGTGCAGTTTCCTCCTCTGGTGTAGGCACAATTTGCTCCTTTCCAGTCAGGATCATCACAGTGTGGCCAGGGAGCTCCCACAAGGATTAATCTGCCCTGAGCCCTGTGAGTGTGGCGATGTGTGTGCTTTGCTCAACTGGATGTGCTCAAAGGCCAGAAGGTCTCCAGCTAAACCCATAAGTGCAGCACCACTCTCCGTATTTTTATGCATAGATAAACTTTATCTAAGCAAGCTTCTTTCTTTTTTATAATGAGTTCAATTTTTGCATCTGACGAAATAATTTTTTTTTAATCTTTAAAGTGGCAATTTAAATTAATTACTTGTTGAATTGTAAACTAATTTTGCATTCTTAGGAAAATCACAATGAATCACAATATAGTATAATATATTTTTCATCATAGTTAAGTTACTTTCATTACAGTTTTAGAATTTCTTCATTTGTGTTTATGAATGATGTTTTTCTATAATTTTTCTTTTCATGTCTCCTATTTTTAGGCTTTGTTATTAAATTTATAATAGCTCCTCATGAGCAAGAGACTGCTTTATTTCTAAATATAGTCACATGTGTATACAACAGCAGCTACTTGATTTTCAGTTGCATTCTCTAATATAACTTTCTGGGAAAACATTAAATTATTAGTTCATTTATCTTAATGTTAGTGGAAATTGGATGGCTTTTATTTTTGAGGAAAGTTTGGAAAATTAAAGTTCTCTAGAACTTTTCCATTTCATCTAAATTTTTCTGTTTATGGTTAGAAGATAGTTTTAATATCTGGTCTAATATCTGCTTCACTTAAAAATATATCATCTTCCTTTGTCATTTCTAGTGTTGTTCATCTGAGATTTTGTTCCCAGAAGATAGGTCTACCTCTTACTGAAAATCAAATTGGAATGAAAATTAAGAACAGTTGTTAGACAAAGTCAAGTTTATTTGTTGCAAATAGAGAAACTCTCAGGAATCAGTCCCAAAGCAAGTACATTTATTTAAACAAAGAATGAACACCCAAAAGAAGTAAAGATACATGTATAGGTGGAGACAAACCTGGCAGGTGCAGTTTGGCAACACAGACCCATTTATATCCCATGTTATGGAAATGAGGTTTTAGTTCAAACTGAGCTGAGCTGTTGGCTTTAAAATGAGGCAAGGGTCTTTTGTACAGTTCCTGATGTGCTCTGTTTGGTGAAATAGTTCTGGCTAGTGTGAATCTATATGGTGCTTCTACCCCACTCCTCTCCTATGAACTTCCAAAAAATAATTTAAGTGTTCACTTCAGCAGCACCTATACTAAAACTTGGTATGATACAGAGAAGATTAGCATGGCCCCTGTGCAAGGATAACACACAAATTCATGAAGCATTCCATATTTTAAAAATACACAAAATAAAAATAACTTAAAAGGAAGATAGCTAGAAAACAATCTTATAAAAAATGGCCCCAGTAATAAAAGATATTAACCACACCCAACACTAGCCATCTAGCTTCCTCTGTAATTCTAAAGTCAACCATTTGACTACATCATGTCTCTTTTCTTTACAATAACTTCAGGAAGAACTTAGTAAAATTTTAAAATGCATTTCAAACAGCTAAGTATTCATTTTGTACCCGTTCTTACACACACATACACACACACACACATACATATACTTTATACATTTATTGCCTTTTGTCAAATTTTCCCCTGACATTTATGATTTCATGTCTTTTCTTTGAAATATTTTTTCTTCATTGTTCAATAATTTGAATGCCTAATGTATGATTTTCAATTGTGTTCTTTGCTATAAGAATTGTTTGAAGATATATATTTTCTGAATATCCTTGACATCTTTATATTTCTATAATCCATATTTTAGTAAAGTATTTCATTTGAATTTGTTATTAAATTAATAGTCCTTGTATTTACTATAAAAATCTAATTTGTTGATACTTCATGCAATGGTGAGTTTTTAAATTAATTTTATTAGTATATTTAAGGTATCAATATAATGACATTCATCATTGGAAGTTTGTACCTTTACATAATCCTTCTTGGTTCTTATTTTTTCCCCATTCTTCTACCCTCCCTTCAACCCCTCTACCCCTCCGTATCTACAAAGACTTTGTTTCCATTATGTCATTGTCTCACTTTAATTCCATTCCCTTCTTTCTTTTATGCTCTTCCACCCAGTTCCCCTTTCTACCTTTTCTTCCCACTTCATGTTATCTGTTAAAACTTTTAGTCTTTGTTTACACTTTCAGTTTCTCACACTACAGAAAGTATTTGTGTCCTATTTATTTCACTTAAGTGAATAGTCTCAATGTGCATCGATTTAGCTATAAATGACTCCAGATTCTCTTTCTTTATTGTGGAGCAGTATTCCATTTTATAGAAACAAAAACAAAATCACATTTTCTTTATCCGGTTTCCAGTTGATGGGTAATTGGGCTGCTTCCAAGTTTTAGCTATTAGAAATTGTGCTGTTATGAACATGGGCCCACATATATTGCTGCAGTATGATACTTTTAATTATTTCGGGAAGATACTCAGAAAGGGGATAGCAGGGTTAAATGGGACCTCCAATCCTAGTCTTTGAGGTATCTCCATACTGATTTCCACAGTAGTTGCACCAGTCTACACTCCCACCAGCAGTGGAGCAGGGTTCTGATTTCCTCTCAGCCCTGCAAGCATTTGTTATTGGTTGATTTCATGATAGCAGCCATTCTTTCTGGGGTGAGGTGCAATCTCAACATTGTTTTCATTTGCATCTCTCAAATGACTAGTGAGGTTGAACATTTTCTTCATATGTTTATTTGCTGTTTCTACTTTGTCTAAGAAATGCCTGTTCATTTCAGATGACCATTTTTGGTTTGGGTCTTTAAATTTGAGAGGTCTGATTTTTTTAAGTTCTTCTTATATTCTAAATAGTAGACCTTTGTCTGAGGAACAGCTGGTAAAAACTTTTTCCCACATTGTGGGTTATCTCTTTGAACTGTTTTTTAGTAAGAAGACATTTCACTTGTTTATTGTTTCTGGTAGTTTACAGGCAACTGAGGTTTTGTTCATAAAATCTCTCCCTCCACCAACGTCATCAAGAGTTCTACTTAACCTCTCTTCCAGCCAATTTAGTGCTTCTGTTTTAATATTTAGATCTTTAATCCATTTTGATTTTCATTTAGTGCATGGTGAGAAATATATAGGTCTAGATTTAATCTTTGGCAAGTTGAAACCGAGTTTTTCCAGCACCATTTTTAAAAAGACCATCTTTCCTATAGTGAGGGTGTTAGGCTCCTTTGTTGAAGGTAAAGTGGCTGAGTGTGACTGGACTTGTTTCTGCATCTTCTAATCTATTTCACAGGTCTGAAGGTCTATTTTTTTGGTTGTACCATGTTCTTTTTTATCAAAGTATCTTTGTAATATAGTTTCAAGTTGGGGATTGTGAAACACCCTACATTGTCTTTATTACCTAGAATTTTGTTTGTTTGTTTGTTTGTTTGTTTTTTCTATTCTTGGTCTCTTCTTGTTCTGAATGAATTTTTGGATTGTTTTCTCAAGTTCTGTGAAGTATGCTGCTGGGATTACAATTGGGATTGTATTGAATCTATATAGCATTTTCGGAAGTATGGGCATTTTCACTATGTTGATTCTTCCTACCCAAGAACAAGGGATGACTTTCCATTTTCTGATATCCTCTTCAATCTTTTTCAGAGTACTATAATTGTCAGAGTAGAGTTCTTTGATTTCTTTCATTAAGTGGATTCATAGGTATTTCAATTTTTGAATATCATTGTGAAAGGGATTATTTGTCCCACTTCTCTCTCAGTGAGTCTGTTTTTTATGTACAGGAAAGCTATTGATTTTTGTGTGCTGACCTTGTATCCAGCTATTTTGCTGAATTTCATTATTAAATCTAGAAGACTTTTGGTGGAGCTCTTGGGGTTTTCTAAATAGAGTATCATGTCATCTACAAATAATGACAATTTGACTTCTTTATTTCCTGTCTTTATTGCTTTTGTTTCTTTCTCTTGTCTAATCACTGTGGCTAATGTTTTCAAAACTATATTGAACAGGAGTGGTGATAGTGGACATCCTTGACTTGTTCCTGATTTTACTGTGAAGGATTTCAGTTTTTGACCATTTAGTATGAAATTGGCTGTTGGTTTTTCATCGATGGCTTTTATCAAATTGATGTAAAGACCATCTATTCCAAGTTTTTGGAGGGTTTTTATCATAAATATGTGTTGGATTTTGTCAAATGCTTTTTCTGCATCAATTGAGATGATCATATTTTTTTGTCCTTGTCTCTATTAATATAGTGCATAACATTTATTGATTTGCATATGTTGAACCACCCCTGCATCCTTTGGATGAATCCCACTTGGTCTGGGTTTATGATCTTGTTAATGATCTCCTGCATTCTATTTGTGAGTATCCTATTAAAGATTTTTGCATCTATGTTTATTAGTGAGATTGGCCTATAGTTATCTTTCTTGGTTGGGTTTGTCTCTGATTTGGGAATCAAGATGATGCTTGCTTCCAGGAATGAATTTGAGAGTATTGCTTCCCTTTCAATTTCATTGAAATTATACAGGACTGGTACTAGTTCCTCTCTAAATGTCTTGTAGAATCCAGCAGTGAAGCCATTAGGACCAGGAATTTTCTTAGTTGGTAAGTTTTTTTTTTATTACATTTTCAATTTCATTGATAGATATTATGTTTTTTAGAATTTTTAAGTCATCTTGGTTCAACTTTGGTAATCTGTCCATTTCTTCTGTATTTTCCATCTTATTGGTGTATAGTTCCTGGAAGTAGGTATTGATGATCCTCTGGATTTCTGAAGGGTCCTTGTAATTTCACATTTTATTCCTAATTGCACAGACTTGGGCCATTTCTTTCCTTTTTATGATATGGTTAGCTAAGGGTTTGCCAATTTTGTTTTTTCTTTCAAAGAACCAACTCTTGGCTTCACTGATTTTTTGTATTGTTCTCTTAGTCTCCATTGCATTAATTTCTGCCCTGATCTTTGTAATTTCCTCCCTTGTATGAGCGTTGGGTTTTACCTGCTCTTTTTTTTTCTAGAAGCTTGAGGTTCAGCATCAGGTTGTATGATTGAGCTTATTCTGTTTTCCTAGTATGAATATTAACAGCTATGAATTTCCCTCATAAGGCTTCTTTCATCATGTCCCATAGATTCTGATATGTTGTATTGTCATTGTCATTTAATTGTAGGAACTGACTGATTTCTTCTTTAATTTCCTCTGTGAACCATTGGTTATTCAAAAGTGTGTTGTTCAATTTCCATGTGTTTATGAAATTCTTGTGGTTTCTTTTGCTATTCATTTCCAATTTCATCACACTATGGTCTGATAATATACAAGGGATAACTTCAATTTCTTTACACTCACTTGAGCATGTTCTATGAGTGAGTATGTGGTCTATTTTGGAGAACAATCCATGCACAGCTGAAAAGAATTTATATTCTGATTTTGTGGGAAGGAACACTCAGTAAACATCTGTTGAGTTCATTTGTTCAAGAGTTTGACTGAGTTCTAGTATTTTGTTGGTTTTCTTTTTCTATCTAGTTTATGTATGTATTCATGACAGTGGGTATTGAGGTCCCTCACTACTATTTTGTTAATGCTTATTTGATTTTTCATGTCCATTAGCATTTTGTTTTATATAGTTGGATGCACTATTGTTTGGCCATATATATTTATGATTGTCATCTCTTCCCCTTGGATTGTTCCCTTTATAAAGATGTAGTGCCCTTCTTTGTCTCTCTTAATCAATGTTGGTTTGAAATCCACTTGATTTGCAAATAGAATAGTGACTGCTGCTTTTTTTCCACGTTCCTTTTGCTTGGAGTATTGCTTTCCACCCTTTAACTTTCAGTCTATGAGTTTCTTTTTGGATGAAGTGTCTTTTTTATATACATTCTATTGTTGGATCTTGCTTCTTGACCCATTCTGCCAATCTATTTCTTTTGATTGGTGAATTGAGAACATTAACATTGATAGTTATAACTGATATGTATTGACTTACCTTGTCATGACTTGTTCTTTTTGTTGGATTTCCCCCCTTTTTGTTTGACTTCTTGTCTTGCCTGATGGACTCATTCTGCTGGGCTACCTGGGGTTGTGATCCTCATAGTCTTTTCCTAGTATATTGTTTACATTTTTTGGAGTGCTAGTTTGGTATTAATGAAGTTCCTAAGGTGCTCTTTGTTATTAAAATATATTATTTCTGTTATAAAGGATAGTTTTACAGGGTACATCAATCGGGCTTGGAGGTTGCTTTCTTTAGGGTTTGAAATATGGCACTCCACGCTCTTCTTGTCTTGAGGATTTGTCCTGAGAAATCCGCTGTGAGTCTGATGGGCTTTTCTTTGTATTTGATTTGTTTGTTTTTTTCTCTAATTGCTTGTAGAATTTTGTTCTATTACATGCCTATGTGTTGATTGTTTTTTGTCATGGCTAGTTAGAATACTACATTCCTCACTTATCTGTATGTTAATTTCTTTTCCTCTACTTGGGAAGTTTTCTGCCAATACTTCTGTGAATAGTTTTTTTTTTTTAATATCTTCTGCACTATCTTCTGTTTCTTCATTGTCTCTGATCAGTTTTGTATTATTCTTCTTTGCATTGTCTAGCAGCTGCTGGATTGATTTCTGATGGTCCCTTACTGTTTTTAAGAAATTTCTTTTCCTTGTCACTAATTGAAATTCTTTCTTCTATATCTGAAATTCTGTCCTTGCTTGGCTCATTCTGCTGCATAAACTTTCAATGAAGTTTTTAATCTCCTAGAAATCTGTTTGCATCTGTTTTATGGATTCCATTTGTTTCCTATGTTGGGATTCCATCATGTTTCTCAGCTCCTCTATTGTTTTATCTATGTCCAGATTTATCTGTGTCTAGATTTATTAATTGTGTCTTGCATTATGGACACAATCTCTGCTATTATCTGAGAAATTTTTTTCTGATTTCATTTTTTTCTAGGTCCTCTTTCATTGCCAGTTCAGGAAATCCAGTGGTCGAGTGTCAGATTATTCCATCTTGTTTCCCTTTGGAGTTTCCTTAGGTGATCTGGAAGTCTGGTTTTGAGACCTATTTACATGTCTCCTCATTTCAACAGATGAAACCCACTGTGCCTTTGATGAGGAAACTTTTTGCTTACCCAGTGGTCTTCAATTCTCAGCAAACCACTGAGCAGCCTTTTCTTTGCTGCTTACCAGTACACAAATTCCTGCCTTCAGAATGGTGGCCTTCTGGATCCCTGAGCTGACCTATTTACTGGTGGGCTTCTAGCTGAGGCCTGTGCAAACTTGGATGGTATCTAGCTGTGCTTTGCACTGGGACTTCTATGTGGCTGTTGTCTGGGAGGGCCTTTAGCTGGTGGCTGTGCATCCCAGTTCCTGTTGTGTATGCAGGCTTCTGACTAGGGTCTCTGCACACTGATCAATGGTATTACAGCAAGCCTCTGGCTGTTGCTTGTACACCTGTGTAGCTCTTTTCCAGGTGGGCCCTTGGCTGTTAGCCTGAATGCCCAGGCTTCTGGTGTTGGGGTAGAGCCCTGGCTGGAATCTACCTACAGCCATACCCTTCTGGTCCACACAGCTGCTCCCCCCAACTTGTATCTTTGGGCACTTACCAATGGTATTGTGAGCCTCTGGCTGAAGCTTAGGCACCTGTTCAGCTCTTTTCTGTGATCCTCTGTGATTGGAGCAGAGTCCTGGCTGGAATCTGCCTGCAGCTGCACCCTGGGATCTAATGGCAAGTTTTTATAGCATTCTACATAGTCTTGAAAAGAGTGTCTCTTCCATTTGTCATGTGCCATTATTTCAAACTTGTAAATCGCATTGTTTTTCTTTAACTAAATTTTTTAACTTATAGAGTCTTATTATTCTACTTGATCTAGATAAATTAAAGAGAACACATTATCGGTGAATTTTCACTTTCTTTTACAAAATTTTTATCAGTTCACTTCATATTTTCAAGTTAATATGAATACATCTGACTTATGTCCTGTATATTCTTCTTTGCAATGATATGTCATTTTTTAAAGGGTTTGTTCTTTTCAGTGGCACCTGCTATCTTTTTTTTTTTTCTTATTGAGTTTTTTGGTGCATTTTAGGTATACAGTACAGTTATATTCATCATTGTGAACTTGTGCCTTTACATGACAGGTCTTGGTTCTCATTTTTTCCCCTTATCCCTTATCCCTTCCCTCACTTCATCCCTCCCTCCCTTCCCTATTTACAAATACTTTATTTCCATTTTTTGATTTTCTCATTTTTTTTCTTTTTCCCTTATTAGTTTTTCCCTACCCTTCCCATTTTCCCTACACCTTTAGCCCTTTTCTTCCTATTTCACATTGTCAATTATCTCATTATGATCTTATGTACTATTATAGCTTTTCACACCAGAAAAACTATTTGGTATTTATACATGTGTGACTTATTTATTTTATTCATGAGTATATCCTCAATATGTATCCATTTTACCATGAGTGCAATTATGTTTTAAATGGATGGCAATTTTTTCCCTCTTCCTCTGGAAAGATTGTTTTTAAATGAAGCATCTCTCTCTCTCTCTCTCTCTCTCTCTCTCTCTCTCTCTCTCTCTTTTAGATTTGTTTCTAGCATCTTTTATCATATTTTGTTTTTGCTCCATTCCTAAATTTTGATTTTTTTTATTTTATTTCACTGTGTATGTATTTTCAGTTTTTAAACCTGTGTTCATAGACAAACTATGTACTCAATGTACTTTTTTTGGACAGATTTCATTCATTTTTATTTTGTACAAACACATGTTGTAGCTACTGCTGGGGCTCTCTGAACAGAGACTCTGGTGTGAGTTTTCACAAGAAGGTCAGTGAATTCCTGGTAGGGAGACTTGGTGAAGACAGTTTCCTTCCAGAGGTCCAGCATTAGGTAGCCATAGGTCTTGGAGATGGCATCAAAGGTGGCCTTAGCAAAGTTGCCTGGAGTAGCAGTGCAGCCCCTGGCAGAGGTGTAACAGTCATCAATACCAGCCATCAGCAGCAGCTTCTTGGGTACAGGGGCTGACCCAATGCCAGTACCTCTGGGGGCAGGGTTTAGTCTCACCAACACAGAGCCACAATGGCCTGTCACCCTACGAGGGACAGTGTGAGGCTTCCTACTCTTGTTCCACCAGTAGCCTCTCCGCACGGGGACAATGGAAAGTTTGGCCAGAGTGATGGCACCGTGAATGGCCATGGCTACTTCCTTGGAACACTTTACACCCAGACCAATGTGACTGTTGTGGTCCCCAGCAGTGACAAATGCCTTGAATCTGGTCCACTGGCCAGCACGAGTTTGCTTTTGTACCAGCATGATCTTCAAAACTTCGTCCTTGAGGGACGTGCTCAGGAAAAAGTCAATGATCTCAGACTCCTTGATGGGTAGAGAGAAGAGATAAACTTCCTCCAAGGACTTATCTTCATGTCCTTCACCAACCAACCCAACTTGGTGACAGGAATCCACTCCTTGTTCTCCACATTACCGCCCCGAGTTCCGCGGCCCGGGCCTTGGCCCCTGCCCCGCCCACTGCCCAGGCCTCGAAGGCCACTGCCAAAGCCTCTGCAGAAGCTTCAGCCCCCTATGTCTGGGCCCCTGGGGCCTCCCGGCCCTCCTGCTGCACAGGCGTCATCCACCATTTGGTGTTTTCTCGAGGAAGAAGTCACTGTACTTTTAATCTATGGTTACCCTGGGCATTTTAATATTCACATTTATTATTTGAAAATAAAGAAGTTAATCAATAATTTTATGTTCTTTCTGAAAAATTGTAGGTATTAAAAAATTTAACAGACATAACACTCCTTCCATCTTTCATGTGACAAATTTTTATTTCTATTTTTAACCTGTGTAAGAAATTATTCATATTTTATTGAGTCAATGTTTAGATTCACTTTTGTATTTGTCTTGTTTTCAATTTAGTATTCCTTGACAGATTTCAGATGTACATTTTCATCACTTTCTTCATCCTGAAATGTTTTAATTTATTAGTTTTATTTGTTTCAAACTGCAGTCTCTGTGTTTGAAAAATGCCCTTGCACCATAATTCTTTAAAGTTACTTTTTTGGTATATGCAACACAGGTTAACAGTTATTTTCTTTAAGCTTATAAAAGAGCCTTTAGTAAGACTCCTGTTACCTGAGTATCACCCTGCTGCTCAGAAACTATCATTCAGTTCTTATGTAGGGAATTTTTCTTTTCAATTTTTTCCAGGCTCTTCTTAATTTTTTTGTTTTTTGGTGCTTTATTTTTCTTACTATATCATACCAAAGTTGTGTATGCATTTGTTTTATTTTCACTGTGCTTGGCACAATGGTTATCTTGAATCAGAAAAATATCTTGCAGGATTTTGGTTTCCTTAATCAGAATGGTATCTTACAAAATGTTTTTAAAAATCTCAACAATTTTTTTTTTTTTTTTGAGACAGGGTCTCACTATGTAGTTGAGACTGACCTAGAACTCACTGTGTAGCCCAGGCTGGTCTTGAACTCACAGCAATCCTCCTTTCTCAGCCTCCTGAGTGCTGGGATTACAGGCATGCACCACCACGCCCGGCCTCAGCAATAATATTTTTGAAAATTATTGTTTTTGATTATATCTTTTCTCTCATTCTGGAATTCTTATGTGATCTTTCTCACATCTCTTAAATTCTTTTTATATTTTAATTTCTTGTTCTGTCTATGCATTATACATACATAACAATGCTATGTTTATATTATATACATATAATGTCTAGTGAACCACTTAACCCAGATATCAATATTAAAATTTTTGAGCTTTTCTTCTGGGAGTCACTTTATTTTGTACCAGGGATCAACTTTGTGCTTTCAAGGCAGATGTGGTGCCACTGAGCTAAATTTCCAGTCCCTTTGAGCTTTCTTTCTATAAGATTTATTTGGTTATTTATATTACTTTTTGTCTCTTACCTATGTTGACAATTTGTGTTTTTATTATTTAATATTAATTTTGCATTCTTATTTCTATGTTTGAATATCTTATAATTTGTATTTTGAAATAAAATTTGAAAAATTTTAGACCTATTTGTTATTAAATAAAATTTATGGGAGCATTTTGGGGCTGAGGTTATGAACTAGGCCCTAACAGACCTGACCAAAATGGAGTCACTTGCGTTAAGCTCCATGTAATGAAACTAAAATTTTTAAAATCAGAAAAATTTCCAAAATGGTCAGCTTAAAATAAAATGAAAACAGACAAGATCAGGCACATTCGGAGTGGTATGGCTATAGATGAAAACAAAATCAAACAAACAAAAAGTAGAACCCCAACAATCATTTGAAAAAGCCAACTTTACCTGAGCCAGCATACTAAAGTCCCCTGTCTATAAAAAAAAGTCACCTTTAAAACAGTCTCCTCTTGTTCCTTGTTTCTCCTTCTTTAATCTTTTCATGCCTATAAAACCCTTCTGCTCAGCTCCTTTGAATACCTGTTCTAAATCCATAGAAATGATACTACCTTATTCATCATATTATCTTAAAGCAAATTAGATCTTAAAAGAAAGTTTGTTAATTTTTTTCATTTTTAAAAACTCTCTCTTCATACATATTCCTTGACACTAAGGAGTTTTCTTTGTTTTACTCATTGCTTTATTTTCAGAGCACAGAAGAGTATCTGTTGAACAGAAGACAATCTGTAATTTTTTGTTTGATAAATATGATAAAATATTTTCAGTCTGATATTTCCAATTCAAAACTGTGTCTGACTTCCTGCCCATGTTTTCTCTTGTTCTTCTTCATGGCACTCTGTTTCCATGCTTGGTTAGTTTTTATTTAAGGTAATATGCCTTGGAACTTTATGAAATTTATGTTTCTATACAAAGAATTTATGTGTGTTTCTGCCAGCTGCTTGGGTGTAGTACCAAGTAGGAGCAGTTTTAAACTAGACTAATGGCTTTCTGTTTTCAGACTACCTGGCGAGTATAAGTTCAGATCACAAAGTATCTATACACTGATATTAAAAACTACAGAGATAGATAAAATTTGTGTCATGTATTTTAAATTAATTTTAATAAGTAATCATATAGAAATTATTATGATGATTTTACAGCAAGTCCCTGACTTACAAATGAGTTCCAATTGTGAGAGAATCTTCATATGTAAAGTCAGATTTTTTTTATAAGCCTGAAAAAGTGAGTCTTTTACACCTTTGACACAAATATAAAATGTACAGTTTTCCCTCTTGCTTCTGGAATTCCTGGGCTCTGATTGAGCACTGTTAAGATCTAATTTGCTTTATTATATTATACATACATAAATGTATATATCTAAGAATGGCAAAAATAAGGACTGGGATTTAGCTTAGTGTTTCTGCCACCTGCCTCGTAAACACAAGGACCTGAGTTCAATCCCCGGTACCAAACAAACTAAATAAATAAAGAATGGCAAAAATAGAAGATGAAAGTAACCCCCAAAAAACAAAACAAAATTGAAGACTGTATGAGAATGGGAAAGAACTCTAAATGCAAAACTGACAATATTTGGCAGATACACGAGCTACTTCTGGGACTTGTTCACATACACCGAATGTGAGGTCTGTTCATATCTGTGAAAGTTCAAAACTTGAATGTTTGTAAGTTGGGGAATTACTGTATAATCATTTATATAACAAATCTCTGTAATATGGTTCTTTACACAGAGCACATAAGCTTAGTAAATTTGCAGACACAAAACTTCATATATGGTTATGTTTTTCTAATTACTGTTGAAAAGTAGATTTGAGCACGCAAGTGCTTCTAAACATAGATTAAAAAATCAAAATAACTGCTTGTGTATCGGTTGCTAAATTAAAATTAATTACAGTGAAGAAAAGTTAAAACAGATTTCCTCGGTATCACTGGTGGATTTTTAGTACTCAGTACCCTCATGCAGGTAGTGACTACTATATTGAGAAGTACAGTTCTAGGGTTCTAGTACACAGGAGCTTCTTGATACACATCTCAGATGGTATATTTTTCTTGTGCTCTCTGCACATGATAAAACCACTGATAAACACATTTCAAAGCCACCCATATATGGCATATGACCTTGTAAAACATTTGCATTCAGAGTTCTTTCCAATTCTTAGAGAGTCTTCACCTGTTTGGTTTTTGTGGGGGATTGTTTTCATCTTCTACTTTTGTTATTATTAAATACATACATTTATGTATCTGTGTTTAAATACTGTTTGTAATGCCTTATACTACATTTAAACTTTTTCAGTAACAGAATCACCTATGGTACTTAGTCTTCAGTTCTCCATGAAAAAGAAGTCAATTTGAGTTATTTGATTTTTGGTTTAATATACATTAAAGATTATTCTTCAAAAACAATGGTCACTTGTGAAATTTCTAAAGCTGAGCAGAAAAACTAAAACAGCAATTTAAATAATAAAAATAAAAATCATATACCATTTAAATAGACTATTTCATACCAAAGTTTATTGTTAGAAAAATATTATATTTCTCCTCCTACCAAAGTTAATATTTGGTATCCCTTTTTGTTTTTTGGGTACTGGGGATCAAACTCAGAACCCTGTGCTTGTGAGGCAGGCGGTGGCACCACTGAGCTAAATCCCCTTCCTACCATTGTTTTGTTCTTGAAATATTTTAAAAAGTGGAAATCTAAGTATTTCAAAATAAGAATAGCAACCACAAAAAAAGGTTTACTCTCTTTGAGAAATATTAAAGACACTGTCCTAAGGGCAAATTTGGTAGACTTCATGCTCCATAGATGTAACAAATATGATTGAAGGTAAGTTTGTTATAATCTCTTCTAAAGCTCTGAAATGATTGCTATTGCTTTTTATGTTTTTGTTGAAAGAGCTGGCATTCTTTTGCTTCTCATACATACAATTCTTTTTTTCTTTGTGATGCATGGTGCACATAGACATGAAAGTCTGTGTTCTAAAGTGAAGTTAGTTGTCTACTTACCGAAATGGAACAAAAGTTGACAGTTTCATTATAAAACACTGTGAAATATAAAATGTACAGTTTCCTGTACTATTCCAATCCAGTTTTCTTACTAAACATGTAGAATTTGATATGTTGATGGGAATCTAGGAATATAGTATCATAAATTATTTGACAACTAATTTATTTTGCCTAACATATAAGTTGGTAACATAAGTAAATAAATTCCACTACAGAAGCATAGCGTTTCTTGGCATAGTGTGTATAATTTGTCTAATATTACATACTTGTTCCATGAAGTAGAATTATATTAGGAATTTTATGGAATTAGCAGAGATTTATTGAGCAACAATTGTAAACAAGGTGCAATTTTGTAAGAGATACATAGATGGAAAGACATGTTTTTTTGTCCTTATGGCACATACGGAAAATATACATTTAAAGACTATTAGTACCTTTTACTAACTTTTTACTAAGGACTATATCCTCATGAAATTTACGTAGTTTTTCAAAAGTCTTCAACTTGGGTATTTTAAAATTTAATGTCCAAATTCTCTCCATCAACTAAATCCAAAGCAAATAATTTCTGCTGTTTCAGTTTTCCTTGGCTTCCTTTTACTGACTTCTAACTAGAAACCATCTTTATATCTGTAATTTTTTTGAGCATGAACCCTTGTATCTCATGGACCATATTTCTTCTTTTTTATATTTTATTAGCATGTGTATTTGTT